TGGCGAACGCGACGTCGCAGTCAGGAGACCAGGATGAAAGGTCTGCGTCATCGCGTAGGAGGTTGGTCAGTGGTGACATGATCGACGCAAAGTTTCGAACGAAGCGTCGGAAGTACGAGCATAGTCCGATGAAACTGCGTAATTCTTTCAGTGTAGTAGGTTTCGGGAACTCGGCGACTGCTCGCAGTTTTGCAGGGTCGAGTAGAACACCATGCTTGGACACGATGTGCCCTAAGATGGACAGCTCTTGCGCAGCGAAGCGGCACTTTTTGAGGTTCAGTTGGAGCCCAGCGTTGGTTAAACACGTCAGAACCAGTTGGAGCCGAAGCAGATGTGTAGGAAAATCAGGAGAGAAAACGACAATGTCGTCGAGGTAGCATAGACGCACAGACCACTTCAGTCCATGCAGTGTGTTGTCCATGAGTCGTTCAAACGTGGCTGGGGCATTACAAAGTTCAAATGGCATTACGTTAAATTCATACAGTCCATCTGGTGTAATGATCGCAGTTTTCTGGCGATCAGCTTCTGCCATAGGGACCTGCCAGTATCCAGATCGTAAGTCTAAGGAGGAGAAGAATTCGGCTCCGTGGAGGCTGTCAAGGGTGTCGTCAATGTGCAGTAATGGATAGACGTCTTTCCGCGTCACCTTGTATAATCGCCGGTAGTCGACGCAAAATCGAATTGATCCACCCTTCTTTCAAACTAGAATGACAGGAGATGCCCAAGGACTGTGCGATGGTTGAATAACGCGTCGACGTAACATCTCTTCGACCTGGTAGTTGATGATGTGACATTCTGCAGCAGAGACACGGTACGGTCTTTGACGCAATGGCTGGTGCGAACCGGTGTCAACGTAGTGGTGCACTGCCGAAGTACGACCCAATTGCGGCTGAGAAACTTCAAATGAATTCGCGAAGTGCTGGAGGAGATTAAGAAGCTCGGCGCGTTCTTGAGCAGTTAAGGTGTCGGCGATGGAACTCGAGAAGGTGTCACTCGACGAGCATTCCAGTGGGGAAAGGGCATGAAGTTCGGTAGAGGCGCTACTGCACGATTCGTCTGGCATGTTAAGGAATAAAGAAAAATCAAGGTAATCCACTCGACCGAGACATTCGCCGGCAAGTAGCGTTAGCGGTGCAGAAAGGGAGTTGTGTACGAAAATATTGCTTTGGCCAGCAGTGACGTCCATTGTAGCGAAAGGCAAAGAAACGGCTCTGCGGCTCATGAAAATGTTGGAAGTTGTAAACATTACCATAGCATCGTTATAGTCATCGCAGCAAACTGGGACAACGGCAAGAGAGGCTGGCGGAATTTCAGTGTCCTCACGCACGACAAGTTTTGGCGACCACTCAAGGTTTCGTGCAAAGGTTCGTCACACAGGTGCGAAAATTGAACTTCAGCGCGTGCGCAGTCGATGATGGCATGATGATTTGACAGAAAGTCCCACCCGAGTATAACGTCATGCGAGCACACCGAAACGACGATGAACTCGATTACGTACATAGAGCCTTGGATGAATATGCGGGCCGTACAGGTGCCGAGAGGTCGAACTGGTTGTGCGTTAGCTGTACGAAGCGATAGTCCAGAGAGCGGCGTGGTCACTTTGCGTAGGGAGCGGCAGATCTGGGCGGCTATAACAGAAACGGCAGCACCTGTGTCGATGAGGGCAAAGGTAGAAACACTATCGACAGATATGGCGACGATGTCAGCTGGTGAAGTGCGAGGACTTGAGCATTTCGACGACGGCGCAGTTCTTGCCTCTGGAACTGCGGCATTCAGTTTTCCCGGTTGGAGGAAGCGGGTCTAGGACGCATTGGGGACAGTGATCGCCTGCGATGAGATGGGGAGCGGGGAGAGTGAGTCTGAGGTGAAGGCTGGGGTGACCGAGGCTCAGGAAGGTTAGTGTATCCATAATGCGGTGAGGGATAGGGAGCAGGTATGTGCATGGGCTGTGGGTCATACGGTAACGGCCGAGTAGCGTCGTGGAGTGGTTGGAGGCGACGGCGACAATATCGTGCCACGTGTTCTGGAGTACCGCAGGCGTAGCAGATCGGTCGATTGTCAGGAGTGCGCCAGGAATTGCTGACTCGTGGTGCGGCCCAAGTTGTCGAAAAAGGGGCGGAGTGGGGAGCAACTGAAGACATGGGTGGCAAATACTGCTGGCGAGGTCTGCTGCGTACCACCTGGGCATACGTAAGAGGCGCGGCCACGGGTTGCATAGCCGGCGCATAGGCAACAGGCATGGCCACAGGCTGCTGGTGGGCAGCGACGGGAACAGCCTGAGCTACCTCTTCGGCAATAACGTCACGGAGTGGTGAGGGCAGATGAGGGGACGGCGGCTGCTGCGTGAAGGGAATCAACGACAGTTGCCGAGCTACTTCTGCAGGGTTGGTGAGTGGTCGGGAACGGAAGTGAGACTGGAGAGCGAGTCGGCGTGTGAGGAAAATGGCAGAGTCAGGGCGCGCTGCTTGCTCAACTCGTCGAAACTTTGACACAAAGTGACAAGATCCGCGACGGTGGCAGGATTACGGGCCAGGAGCAGCTGATATGCACCGTCATTTATCCCTTTGAGGATGTGTTGAATCTTCTCGGACTCGGGCATGGTGGTGTTCACACGGTTGCAAAGACCAATAATGTCTTCGATGTAGCTGGTGAAAGATTCCGTTGGCTTTTGTGCGCGAGTCCGCAAGCATTGTTCGGCTCTGGACTTGCGGACAGCGGATCGGCCGAAATCGTCAGCAAACAACGTTTTAAAGATGGACCACGTCGTAATGTCGTTTTTGTGGTTGTTATACCACATTTCGGCCAAAAGATGACGTTAGTCAATTTGTTCGCGTCATCCCACTTGTTGTTTGCGCTCACGAGTTCGTAGTTAGCGAACCAGTCTTCCACGTCGGTCTCATCAGCTTCGCTAAAGACCTTGGGCTCTCGTAAACGAAGAACACAGGGGTTGCTGGGGGATGGAGTGGAAGAGCCAGGTTGCGCGTTGTTGGTAGCCATGATGGGAGCTAGCGTTCAGTCGCGCAGCTCCAGGTTTAGGCGACGGCGAATGGCAGCACCCAGGTTCAGGCAACAGGGAATGTCGGCACCCTCCACCAATTGAAAAAGGGTTTATTGGCGACTGTTGCGACGGTGGTCCTACAGTGAAACACGATCGGGAAAGAGCAACGGTCAAGCAGATGCCGGCGATGATCAGCACGAGCCGAGTGAGCACAGGACCCAGTACCCAAGCGTAGGCGATGTTGCTTGCCAACGATGCGTTTTCTTCTTCACAGCATGTTCATGGGAATCAATCCCGCAGGCTATCTTGGCTGCGAAATTTTGTGTCAGTTCCCCTTTAGAAGTAAAGTTTATAATTGCTTTTTTTTTTGTTTTATTGTGACATTTTTTACAAATAAGTCAGTTGTCTCTAACAGAAAATGGTGGCGAACTGAAAACCTGGAGGCCAATGTGGAATTCATGGGCTGTTCAGGTGGTACCGGTTTAGCAAAATCCCGAAAAAATGACCGTCTGAAGAAATGCTATATGTCTTTTGTTTTTTTCTTCTTAATATAGAGAGTATTCTTGGCAAAGCATTTATTTTGACATTTAATTGTTCTGGCATTCAGTGATTGGTAAAAGGAGACCGCAACTGTGGAGTCTAAATTACCAGTGAGTGACTGTGATTGGTTCTAGCAGTTGTTGATTTCTCTAGAACTCTCAAAAATAGAGCACATTGGTTTGTAAACTTTGAAAGATGCAAATTCCAGGTGAGTACAGTGAAATCTCGGTAGAACGAACCCCACATTAACGAACTTTTCAGCAAACGAACTTTTAAAAAATCCCACACCGACTGCTAATAGTTTCATTGTTAAATTATTTCACTACTATGTACTTCAGAATACCGAACTTTTCAGAATAACGAGCGTTAATTTTAGTACCGCATAATATTAAAAACACTTAATTACTACGAACTTATGTTCTGAAATCTGTCGCGACCACGGGAGCGGTACGCAAGCAGACCACAAAGCGAACGGACGCCTTGCTTCTCGGAAGACGCGCGACAATGTAGAAGGTAGGGGGGAGGGGGGGGGACAAAAGGGTTTTTTTTTTTTTTTTTTTTTTTGACACACGGGTGCTGCAGGTTCACAAGCGGGCACTGAAGTTAGGGCAACACGGGAGGGCAAGGTAAGCAAGGCAGAGTGGGAGTTGTGGAGCAGGAAGCATGGGCGCGGAAAACCTGAGACAACGAGACAGCAGAAAACGAAACGCAAGGCATTTTGTTTTTTAGCACTTTTTTTTTTCTTCAAAAGAGGCGATGACAGCCGTGACGCTTTGGGTTTTTCTTTGGAGGCCCTGTCTTTTTTTTTTCTGTCGCGTTTATCTCTTTTCGGTGATTACTTATTGCATCCGCAAAGCAAGTCAGCGTTCACTCTGCAGTGATACTACAAATTAGTTCATCTCTGCTTGCGACGAAGAAGCGGAAGCAGTTTTTGCTAAGTGAGACAATGGGTATTCTTCAGCAACTGGAAGGCAAAAAGCAGGCTCTTGTAACCAAATAATCGAATCGCACCACAGGAATGTGGATGAGCTGGAGGGCTCTGCACTGCAAAATTTGTGCTGCTCACGCAAAAAAAAAGAGAAAAAAATCACAGACTTCTTTAAAGTATTCAAGCATTTTTTAGTGTTTACTTGTGCATTTGTTTGTTTGTTTTCGAAAAAAGAACGAGCTCAAGGACCCATTGTTGTATAGGTAAGTCGTTTTGGTTGGTGAAAAATAAGTATTTATGGTTAATTTTTGAGCTTTGACTATAATGACCTTTCAAAATAACAAACGAATTTCCGCAGTCGCCTGAAGTTCGTTATACCGAGATTTCACTTTATGTGGCGAAATCACAAGAAAACGTGAGGGGTGCCACTGGGGCTGCACATCATTAGCACTCGCTTAGTGGTTGTGGCACTGCATGAGGTGCTTGACTTGCTGTCTGACTGTGTCTTCTGATGGCTGGGGGGCCGACAAGCAGGATATCCCGGATACAATCAATGTCTGTGGCCGCATCATACCCGACCAGGTGTGGGACTACCTGAGCAAGATCAAGCAGTCTGGCAACAAGGTTGGTCACTCTTCTTGCTATGACTGTGATAACAATGGTAAAAGCGCTTGACTATAGTATAAATTGTTTCAAGATATACCTCCAGATTCGACCATTTTTTAAAACTGAGCCTGCAACAATTTCAGCCTAGCCGGGGCTCCTGTAAATGTGAAAGCCAATAATAGCACTGCACTCAGCAGGGAATTTCCTACGACTTCATTTTAAGGACAGTTATAAATAGCTCTCTCTTCTCTTGTCAAACTACCATAGTCAATGGGAATGACTACGCGAATGCAGTGGTACTTGAGACGTATGTTTTCAGTTGGGTAAATAAAGAAATTAATGCAGCACAAGTGTTATGTGGCTTCTACACATGTAATGATGTGGTCTGGTGCAGGAGCTGTTGGTGGTGCGCTTCCAGCCCGCCAACGACGAGGAGAAGCGGCCCTACCGAGAGCTCTACACGTACCTGAACTCACGCAAGCGTTGTGGTGTCGTGGGCGGCTTGTCGCGCATGCTCAAGGACTTCTACATTCTGCCGCTGCCTTCGCACAGCCCCGTCCCCACCGTGCTCATGCCTTTCGACGGGCCTGGTCAGTCTTATCACTAAAACACCAAAACATACTTCGGTGTAACGGAAGGCAGTAAAATTGGCAATGTATTCATTGGATTGTCCTGAAATCTTCCTATTCAGCTAATCGATGCCGAAGCATAGTTGAGGCTTGGTGAGAAGATACATTTTGTTAACTGCAGTGCACATCTTGCAGTTGTCTATGGCAAATAGAGCTTATAAACAGAGCATCAAGTGGTTCGCTTACAGAAGCATATCCACATTCTTTTTAGAGGTGCTGGCACATGCTGTTTGACTTCAAATAGTGCATAGCATGCTATTGGCCTGTAGCCAACACAAATTTGATGTTGGGTCAAATGTGAATTTTGCCACGGCGAGTGCCTACGCAGCACTCAGCAGTCGGCTAACATCACACAGTTCAGATGTGATGGTAGCCACACGAAAATAAGAGAAGAAGGCGATTGCAGTTCATCACGCATGTTTAATTTGTGAGCACTTGATTTTTTTACCACTCGAGGGTCTGTCTCCAGTGCACAGAGTTTTCCAAGCAGACGTGGTGGTCATGGAACTTGCGTTTAGTCATCATAGAAAACCCGGAAAAGTCAAGGAATATAGCAAAATCAAATTAGTAGACACCCTGTATTGCATCATCATCATCAGCAGCCTGACTGCGTCCACTGCAGGACAAAGGCCTCTCCCATGTTCCGCCAGTGAACCAGGTCCTGTGCTTGCTGCTGCCAATTTATACCCGCAAACTTCTTAATCTCATCTGCCCACCTAACCTTCTGTCTCCCTCTACCTAGCCCGCTTGCCTTCTCTGGGAATCCAGTTAGTTACCCTTAACGACCAGAGGTTATCCTGGACATGGGCCGCGCTACATGCTCGGCCCATGTCCATTTCTTCTTCTTGATTTCAGCTATGATATCCTTAACCCCCGTTTGTTCCCTAATCCACTCTGCTCTCTTCTTGTCTCTTAAGGTTACACCTACCATTTTTCTTTCCATTTCTCGCTGCGTCGTCCTCAATTTAAGCTGAACCCTCTTTGTAAGTCTCCAGGTTTCTACTCCGTAGCTAAGTACCGGCAAAATACAGCTGTTATATACCTTCCTCTTGAGAGATAGTGGCAATCTACCTGTCATAATTTGAGAGTGCTTGCCAAATGTGCTCCACCCCATTCTTATTCTTCTAGTTAATTCAGTCTCATGGTTCAGCTCCGTGGTTATTACCTGCCCTAAGTAGACATAGTCTTTTACAACTTGAAGTGTACTATTACCTATCTCAAAGCGCTGCTCTTTTCCGAGGTTGCTGTAAATTACTTTCGTTTTCTGCAGCTTCATTTTAAGACCCACCTTTCTGCTCTCCTTGTCTAACTCCGTAATCATGAGTTGCAATTCGTCCCCTGAGTTACTCAGCAATGCAATGTCATCGGCGAAGCGCAGGCTACCAAGGTACTCTCCATTAACTCTTATCCCTAACTATTCCCATTCTAGGCTTCTGAAAACCTCCTGTAAGCACGCGGTAAATGGCATTGGAGAGATTGTGTCCCCCTGCCTTACACCCTTCTTGATTGGTATTCTGTTGCTTTCTTTATGAAGTTTCTCTAACACAATCTGTCCTCCATCTTTCAGCAGATCTGATGTTACCTGATTCTCACCAGCAGCTTTGCCTCTTTGCATGCTCTCCAAACCTTTTCTGACTTCTTCTATCATTACTGGTGGGGTGTTATCTGGGTTACCTACTGCTAGTTCTTATAGTGTTAAAGTCGTGGTTGCCCCGGCTACTGTACAGATCTCTGTATTGCATTAAAGCTGTTGTAAATGAAAAAATACACGCTGTGGAGGAACACATGCACCTATTGTTCCTTTCCCTTTTACGGCAGCACAGCAGACTAGTTGCGGGGACATGTCTTATTGTAAGATATTTAGCGCAACCTTGACTTTTGCAAACACTCAAACAAACACTCTCACATCCAGCCGAGTAACACACACAACACTCAGGTGGATGTGTGAGTGTTTGCAAGAGTCAAAGTCGCACTAAATATTTTGCAATATGACTAATAACCAACTAGGCCAACAAGTAATTTTATTGAAGACATGTCTGTCCCTTCGAGAAACAGTCAATGAAAGCCTCTTGCGAAGGGATGGGGCAATGCTGACGGCATATGCTATTCTTCTTTCCGGGCTCACGGAACAGGTTCCCCCTCCCTCATCGAAAGGATCAACCCTTGTCAGGGAGAGGGAAACAGATGGTGGAGAAAAAGGGTGTGCCAACAGTGGGACGCTCTCTCGGGCTCCGGCCACCAAGCAGGAAAGGACGACCCCTGGCATTCTCTGCAAGCCAAGGACTTCGTCGATTAAAGTTGTTTTGTTGACCTAGCCTGTTCCTTTATTAGCCCAAACCCGCGTAGCTGCAATGATTCGAGCTACGAGAAAGAGATGTTAATCGTGCACAGGTGCAACTGTGTGTGGCTAGAACAGTAGCTAGGCTTCTGCACCAGCCCTGGGTAAGGCGAATTCCCTTCATCTGGCGCCCAACGTTACGAATTTGGCAAAGCGGCTAGTTTTGTGGCCGCAAGCAACTACCAAAGCTCCTCCGAATGTAGGACAACAGGTGTGTAGGAATTCCAAGAATTGTTCACGTTGTCTGATATAACGTCGCAGAGCGTCGATCCTTCGGCTAACGTGGAGGCACTTTCGGACTTCCCTATAGCGTAGATTTTGATTGTTTCACGCGGGATGACCAAGATGTTGCAGAGACTGCATTAGCAGAGATTAGGTATATGATGAAGAGTGCCACGCCAGAAACTCCGTCACCTCGCTACGTGAACAGAGAGGCGCCGCCGCAAGTTGCTCCGACACACGCTGCAACTGTAGGGGAGTCTGCGGGCAACAGTTCGCCCTCAAGCGCGATGCTCTTGCAGAATGTGCTGTCAGTCATGCAAAGCCTGGCGAGCACCCTGTAGAACACAGCGCAGGTCTCTGTGTAGAATGTGTGACCATTAGTCAAGGTAGACATGCCTATCTAAGTTGGTTACCATGACTGCGAGAGCACCAACGAGTATCTCGACCAGTTGCCCCATAATCATCTGGCGACAGGGGCTTTCTGACGGAACTTTCCGATGCCGAGCAAGCGGCTCGATGGTTCCGACTAACCAGACATTGCGCCCGCACGGTAGAAAAGTTCCATGGCAGCTCCCGCAGCGAATTTCTTCTGGCTAATTATGAGTGGCGATTGTAGAAGGAGTTAGAGCTACGCCCCAGCATCCGGACGAATCCTTGTTGAAGCATGAACAAAGTTGTCGCGCGTGTTCACGAGTAAGGATGTCCCGTGGTTTGATGGAGGACTTGGGTGAAAACGGTTTGGGAACGCTGTCCAGGGGCCGCATTGCACAAGCAGTCACTTCTAGTCCTCGACTTTTACCGTGACCGTCTGACTGACGGTGTCAAGGCCACGCTTTCTTGGGCTGGTAAGGACATCGCCATAATCGCCGATGGCATGACTAGCTAATTTCAGCTGCATGACGTTAACTGCGATGGTGTGTAACCATGGATCCCGTCGAACGCTGCTGACATCGTCGAGAAGTACGCCGCGTCCGACGTGTACAATGCGAACGAGACAAGCTCCTTTTCGAAATGCTAGCAAGGACACTCGACTTAAAAGGCAAGGAGTGCCACGGAGGCAAACAGAGCAGAAAGCGAGTGGCCATGTTTTTCTGTGCATATATGGGCAGGTTCGACGGGTGGCCCCTTCTTGTTATCGGCAAGAGCGCCAAACCGCGGAGCTTCAAGGGCACGAAAACCTGCCAGTGAAGTACGTTGCCAACATCTGCTCATGGATGATAAGAGACATTTTCACTGACTGGATCGTTGCGTTCAAAAAGGACATGAGGAGGCAAGACTGCAGTGTTTCCTTGCTGCTAGATGCAGTATAGACCGCTTATAACGTAAGTCGCGGGAGTCTCGAATATCCGCACTATAACCAAAACAATCTTTTTCAAGGGCCGCACCTGCGCAAAACGCGTTGAGCATGCAGCTTCGCGTCTCTGACATTCGAAACATGTGATGTGTGCTTGCTAACATTTACATTTCTGAATTTTAAAATAGTTTAACGTCCAAGGACAATCGTTCGATTTCGCGGGCACGCAATGACGGGCGCACAATAAATTTAAGACATCGCAATCGAATCGCAAACCACTATTTGAGCTCTACACGTGCCGCCCTTGTTTTCATTTAATGTTATGTATCCCTTCCCGTCAAGTGCAGCCGTCGCAAAGAGTTTTGCGGATTCGGTACCAAACCGCAACTTAGATTCACGCAACCCCTACTGATCGAAGTGCAATCAATGCCGATTAGGCCTAGCTTGCCATTTGGTATGTTGTTGCGGAAAGAAAGCTTGTCCAAAACATGAGGATTGGGCGTCAAAAAGATTGCACTAGCAGTGAACCAAGAATCGCGTGCATGATACGTAGTTCGCGTTCAGGACAGAGAGATCAGCAACAACGACAACTCGCCAAGCTTACATATGACAGCGCACTGGTAACAAAAGTGAAAGCTCACGTCATAAAACTGTAAAAAGTTTTCAATTTATGAACAAGGAACCAAACCCGATATTTGTTGCAAGCGCGATAATGACAATGTCTTCCCGACAGGAAACTGTTAAGCGCATGTGATTGATAAGGGCGGGATCGCACGCGTGCCACGTTGAGCAGTGCACGGCCGAAGCCACACTAGCGACGTGGTACCCTGTAGCCGTGTCGGTGCTGGTGCAAAGGCTTATCGGTCACTGAGGCAACCGTCCTCCTCCCTTACTTGGCAAGCCTGCGCAGTGTCCCGCGGTCCCCCCCCCCCCCTTTTTTTTCATTTTCTTTTTCTTCTCTTTACTCTTTGTTCCTTCACTCCGCGTTCCCTTCTCCTCCGTAACGACCTCAGCATTCGCTCCCCAGCGGCGCACTCGGTGTGCCTCCTTTAAGAAGTGCACTTGCTACCGCGTTTGTCACAAACGATTTTCGGCAACCGCATTATAACAGGTCTTTCATCTCAGGGGACTGCACAATAAGCGGTATATGTATACATGGGATTCTATGGAGGGGTAAACGGGAGTAGAAAAAGACCGCATTATAAGCGGTTCTGCACTTTAAGCGGTTACGTTATAAGTGGTCTGCACTGTAATTGCTCAGCACATCGCCTGGACAGCAATGTCAAAATGACGAACGTTGCGGTGAAGTTTTTCCCGCCAAACTGCACGTTGCTGATTCAGCCTTTAGATCAAGGCGTCATCGGCAGCCTAAAGCACGCATACCTATGAAAGCTTCTTCTGCGAATTCTCTTGAAAACAAAGCATGGCCGCCACACCAAAGTCAACTTTTTCATGGCTGTGCAAATGCTGGTAGCCGCATGGATGTCAACTCGACGTGGGGTTAAGGAACTGTTGTGCGCATGCTGGGTGTCGGCCCAAAGAGATGAACTTGGCCAGCACAAGTGACGACATACAAGCTGCCGACGATGTTGGACTGGGGGCAAGACGCGGAAACTGCCGCAGCTTGGGAAGCTCTCGAGGATGCAGGCATTGTACTCAAGAGCGTTGCCCTGAGGGATTAGGTTAAAGCTGACGTGGACGTGATCATGTACGAGGAGCTGAGTGATGCCAAGATCCTTTGGAGCGCTTGTGCAGCTACCACCACCGCCGATTCGTTGGATAACGACAAAGCCTACGCATAGTGTTCGGGTGGTCCCGACACCAGCGACCGTAATACAGGTCATGGACTCCTTAAACATTCTGCGTAGTTTCCATGGTGCCCATGATGATGCTGTCGCCATGCAGCTCCTCACAAAGTGTAAGCAGCGCATTCTTTTATTGCTCGTGCATAGGTGCAAGCAGTCGAAAATAGCCAATTTTGTTCATATTTTTCGATAAAGGAAAGTTTTGGCTTGCTCCCTTAGCGTCAGGGTATATCTTTTCTTTTATTTACCACTTTTTCCACTACAACAAAATTTTTCTTGATCCCCGTGAATTTAGTTGTAGCGGAGTTTGACTGTACGAGGTAGTCGCATTCAGTGTGCTCTCCAACTTTTTCCTCGCCAGTAGCAGTGGAGCACTGGAAGTCACTGGTGTACGTTTGTTGTATTGCTGAGCATAATGCTGCTATCTATGCTCGTGAAAGAAAGGGATCTATGAGGTCGACATGACTAGTACCTAACAGGGTGCCAATGGGGCAATCGGACTAGAATACGGGTTTTAAAAAAAAAACTATCTTTGCACACAGGCCTTCCAGTCCGGTCGGCCACACATGCTGTTGGGCATCATAGTGCGACACAAGAACCGCCTCAGGCCACCCTCTGGCAAATCCAGGCAAGTGCACACCACTCGTTTGCTACCTTGTGTGTGAAGAAGTAATCACAAAGTACAAATACTGTACTTAGAAATTTCTTCAAAGTGCCAGCAGTAGATCAGAAACCCTCTGCTTGATTCTCTTTTACTACTATATATTGAACACATGGTAAGTTCGGTAGAACTTTGCTTGTGTGTTTTTGTTACAGGAAGACACAAAAAAAATTTTAACCTTAAATATCCATAGCGAAGATACTTCGCACCTCGTTTCAACGCCACTATCTCTACGACGCCTAGTTCGACCACCCAGAGACGTTAGCTACTTTTGGAATAATGCTTGTGAAAGCAGGTTGCCGGGCTAGTTTGTTTGGGTTCATCACTTATACACGTATAGTACACCATGACAAGGACACAATAAGAGAGACACACATTGTATAAATAGCATGTGTGATCTGTAGCGGTTCCGTCATATGTACGGCTGACGAACCCTAACTAATGCCTCAGTGGCACACAGTCGTACCGTGCACGATTACATCCCCTATCCGTAGCTCGTCTCGTTACAGCTACACAGGTTCGGGCAAATAAGACAACAGACTAGATCATCAAAACGACACTTTATTGCTAGGCGTTAACAATAGCGCGAAAATGCCACGAGAAGATGGTACAGGAAAAAAGGGTAGACGCTTACTCCTTGGTCGTTGTCCTCCTCGGCTCGCAGGTTCGGCCTCCTTCTTCCAGGCCGGTGTCAGAGAGAGACCGTGCGGCCGTCCGCCCGCCAGTTTTGTCCCCTGCCCCAGTTTTCCTCTCCATGCCGAGAATACCTTTTCTCGCTGGGGGGGGGGGGGGGGGGGGCCCCTTCCGCGCGCCAGGAAGGGGGGGGGGGAGCACGAGCGCCGGCCGTGTGGGTATTCCTGCAACTAGGCTTTCGCGCTGCCGTAAAAAGGGAAAGGGAGGCTGTGCGCGCACGTGCTTCCCCACAAATCGCAAATAAAACATTACCGTATTTCCCGGTCTATAAGTCGCACCCTCCTCAAAATGGCAGTTTTTACAAAAAAAAGCGTACCGTAAATACTCGAATCTAATGTGCACCTTTTTTCCGGTTAAGCTAGTTCATAAATCGCATGCGCATGAAAATCGAGTACAAAAAAAAAAAAATGAATACGGTCATTCTATTGCCATCGGCATTTCCAAAATGGCCGCCCCCTACGTGCCGCCCGTGCGTCGGCATGGCGCGTCGGCCATTTCTGCCTATGTGTTTCCCATGTGCGGCACTTCGTACATGTGCTGAGGAGTTCCTCATCTTGTAGTGCATTAGCATCGACGGCATGGAAGGGCCGACTCCAAAAACTCGAGTGCATCACGATGCTGCTTTTAAAAGAAAAGTCATTGCGTGTGCAGAAACGGACGGAAATCGGGCCACATCGCGGTCGTTAGAAGTTCCCGAAACGTGCGTGCGGGACTGGCGGAAACAAAAGCAGAAGATTGTCGACAGCAAAGCTTCATGCAAAGGCTTCAGTGGACCACAGCAGGGTCGGTTTCCGCAAATTGAAGAGCTACTCGGCGAGTATGCGCTTGAGCAGCGAGCGGCACAGCGGCCCATGACCACAGAACTGCTCCAAGGGCGGGTTATGCAGTTAGCCTTAAAAAAAAGGGCTAATGCGGAGCCAGTTTTAAAGCGAGCAAGTGCTGGCTAACTAACTTTATGACGAGGAAAGGCTTTTCCCTCCGAAGGCGAACGGGCATATGCAAAAAGTTTCCGGAAGAGTACGATGAAAAGCCTCAGTTTTCACAAGTTCGTCCTAAACTTGCGGCAAACGACTACCTGCTTGGGCAAATCAGGAATGCCGATCAGACTCCTCTTCGACATGCCTGGCACCACAACCGACGAGAAGAAGGGGGCAAAGCAAGTTTGCGTGCTGACATCGGTCCACGGTAAAACTACAGTGACGGCAGTGCTATGTTACACGTCAGATGGGCACAAGCTTCCCCCGTACCTCATATTTAAATGGAAGACGCTTCCGAAAGGAGTCGTTTTTTCTAGTGGTGTGATCGTGCGGGCCAATGAGAAAAATGGGTGCGCGTCGCAATCAATGTCTTACTTTTTTCTTTTTTCGTCGTGGAAACCGGGTGTGCGTTACAATCGAGGGCGCGGTAGAATCGAGTAAATACGGTATATAACGCACCTGCTTATCCGGCCAGCGAGTGTCGCGTCATGACAAAGCATTGCAAAAATGCATGCTTGAGGTGGCCGCCGCTGTGGCAAGTTTCCAGCTGTTGGCAGACTTGTGATAGTGCCTCTCAACAAACATAAAAGCAATATTTCCAGTCAAAAATATTTTATTATTCCGATGAATCAAAACCATCGAAGTCGTCTTCCTCTGAGTGGCTCACAAACAGTGCATCTATTTTGGGTTGTAGCTCTGCTGGCCCGTTACTGTCGTCCTCCGATCCGCTCGAATTGGACTCAACATCGGCCGCACAGGGGATCAAGCCGGCCTTGTGAAAGCCTGCCACAATTGTCTTGTCAGAAATCGAATGCCAAGCTTCACTCACCCATTTCGCCACTTCGCCAAATTCAGCGCGTCTCATGCGACCTGTTTTAGTGAAGCTGTGCTCTCTCTTCAACATCCATGACTCCGACAAACATCGCATAACGGCCTTGAAGCTGTGGTTGACAGATATGCCGAGCGGCTGTCGCCGGGAATGATTACAGGCACCCAATGCTTCAAACTGTTTTTTTTTTTTTTTTAAGACGTTGGTGATATGAGCCCGCAAACTGTCCATCACCAGCATTCCTGGCTTCACGTGAAAGAGTCCATCGGGTCGACGTGAAAAACAGCGGTCAAGCCACACACCCATTATTTCATCGTCCATCCAACCCTTCGCATTCGCCTGAACCACCACTGTAGGAGGGAAAATATCCTCCAGCAAAGTTTTCCGCTTAAATATCACTATGAGAGGCAACTTGGTGCCGTCTGCGCAGCAGGCGAGTACAATGCTGAAGTGAGACTTTTCGTGGCCAGTTGTCCTCCCCGTCACAGTTTTCTGGCCTTTCTCGGCGACCCTTCTCCTGATCGGGATGTCTTAAGGTCAAGGGAACTTCATCCATGTTGACGATGTGGCTCGCGCTGACGTTCTTCTTCGCAATTCCCTCCCTCACGAATGAGCTGAAGTGTTCCAGCTGCGCATGAAAGTCGTCAGGTAGCTTCTGGCTCACTGTAGTCCGGATTCGCATGACAAGCTGATTCTGCCGCATAAAGCGGAAACACCACGATGGACCACCACTGAACCCCTCAGTGTTAGTCTCCGCTGCCAGAGCCTTCGCCTTCAGGCGCAGCTGCACTGTAGACAGGCCTCTTCCTTCGGCTCGCTGTTTTAGCACCCACGTTCGCAGGCTTTGCTCAAGGTCTGGCCAGCATGCCTTCTTGCCGCGGTTGGCTTTCTTTGTAGACTTCATTGTCCGGAGGATGATGTGAGCCTTGCGACAGTCTTGGATTACTTTTTCAGGCGATATCGAATTCTCTCCCTGCAGCACAATTTCCATGTGGTGCCATGGTTAGCGAGGATGCTGCGACAACGCCGCTGCGCCTGCGCTAGAATGCACAATATCAACAACCACGACTGCTATAATGGCCGGAAGTGATGGCAAACGAATCGGCTCTTGTCTGAAATGCAAACTTTCCTTCACATATTTATAATTTTAAATACTTTTTTCACCCCCTCAATAATTATTTATTTTCTGTGCAAAACTAAATAAGTGCTACTATTTCTAGGAAGTTAATTTATCACTTTTTTTATTTTTTTCTGAAATGTGGTTTTTGTGCACCACAAAAGAGGGCACACGGCGAACCACCCGACGAAGAAAGCGTGGCTGTAATATCAGGTCGCCAAATCTGCGGCATCTTATCTGATTTTGACTGTATATAAGTCACACCGTTGTATAAGTCGCACTGACGATAAATTCAGGGGAAAAATGCAACTTATACACCGAAAAATACTGTAGTTGCAAGTTAGCGCTGTGTGTGTGTGTCTTTCTTTTTGTGTCCTTGTTTTGGTGAGCTATACCCATATAAATGATGAATGCTTGTGAATCAAGTGAAACGAAATTTTAGCGGCTCTAACGAAATCAGCTAACCGCCACCAGAGTTGACATAGGCACCACAAGCTTTTTTTCTCTCTATGCAACGGTTCAAAAGTGCATTTTTATCATTTGAAATAGCATGTGCCACAGTGAGAAATGTGGGAAAATGTTGTTATTGAATGCCTCAAGTGTAGCTGTATTATCTAGTTCACTTTGAAAGTCAAATGCTGCGAGGACCTTAAGTTATTGACATTTGAGTTGAAATTATGCAGTGGGACTATACATCCCTACGGGCCTTCCGCGATGCTAGTTTTCGGGATGTTAGGTTCTCCTTCTCTAAATAGAAATTAGTTTTACTGTTCAAGAAGCCATGGATTTGTACTTTTTTTTACCTGATGAACCTCTGTTGTTAATAATTACAGTGGAATCCCAATTTTACGACTTTCTCAGGACTGCGCAAAACTGTCGTAAAATGCGGGCATCGTAAAATCCAAACATGAAAATTTACGCCCACAAAAAAAAAACGTAGCATGCGTATTAGCGAGAAATTTAGTGCGACCTATCTACAAACTCTACAGGGCTCTAAAACAAAGGGAAAAGAACACTGCCGCACAGGTACTAGTTATGATTCATTGAAACGAACCTTGAGTGCGCCGCAAAACTCTTGCGCGATTCCCAACAGCCGTAGCGAAACATGGCACACACTTAAGAAAAATCCGCAAGCTTCTTCTGCACTTTCTTTGAGCCCACCCGCAAAAGCTTCCCCTCAAGCTTCAAAATGTCCAAAAGCATGTTCTCTGCGGCGTCACGTGTACATACGTAGCTCTTGATGCCATTTATGTGCTGTAGGATATTGGCTAATGCCATAGGGACGGCAGAATCTGCGGCAGCAGCATCGTCATTGTCCAACGTCGCAGTAGCGTCGCCACAGAGAAGTTCC